TGATGCATGCTCAATAATCCAGGTAGAAAAATGATGCATGCTCAATAATCCAGGTAGAAAAATGATGCATGCTCAATAATCCAGGTAGAAAAATCCAACAACGTTCAGTCAGGTCCTCTGGACGGTCTCTGGAAGTAGAAACTGTCCAGAGGACGTGACTGAACTTTGCTGGTTAAGACAGAAACACGTGGTGAACACTCTGCAGTCAGCTCAGCTAGCTTAATGAGGTTAGTTAACGGGCCAAAACTTAATAGAACAATGTTTAAAGTTTTTACAAAGGATATTGCAAATCTTAGAACATGGTTAACAAATAGGATCTGAAACAAACAACAAAGTTTAATGCTGAAATGTCAGGAGTTCAGATCTGGTGTACCCTTCATAAACTCCACTAATAAATTATCTGACCATTAAAATCCTTGTATTATATTATTTTATTTTACCTTTATTTTACCAGGTAAAGTCCCATTGAGATTAAGAAGATATTTGTTGTTACATAATCAAGAAGTGAAAATTAATAAATAGAAAATCATAAGCGGCTGGGGGGGGGGGGGCGGCTAGGGGGGGCTATAGCTCCCCCTGGAAAAGTCATAGCACCCCCAAGAAAATATCACATAATCTTCTTTTTCATCTAAGTTAATTTCATTTAATATGTGGTTGTTGTGATATTTTCCTGGCAAAACACAACTAATAATAAAAAAAACAATCAATGATTATATTGAGTTTTTTTTTTAAATCCGATCTCACAACAGGAAGTGAACCTCCGAACCGGAAGTGAAAATTCAAGTTACTGAAAGTTCGGTAAACATTGGAAAAGTGCACAAAATGCAAAACCAGACCACTTTCTATTGCTCAAATTGTCTACAATGGAATCAGAGGAGGAGGATTTTTTTGGAAGCAGACTGCAACCAACAAATAAACAATAATTTGGAAGAAGGATCAAGCCCACTGCCATCCTTCCACATCTATGGAGAATGCTGCTAACGCTAGCGCTGGACAGCTGGAGGAAGGAGGCAGCACGTTCAGCAACCTTTGGGCAGTTCCTGGTGAGTCCTCGTGGTGTCTCCTGGTCTGATCCACCAGAGAACCCCAGAAAGACGAGTGATGCCTCAACACTGACCCGGTAAGGAGCAGAACCTGGTGACATGATGCCTTGGTCTGGTTATGATTCTTAGCTGACAACTTGGTAAATCATTTCCTGACTTGCAGTGACGATAAATGACTTTATCTGATCACATTAAATAACTTCTTTCAACCAAAATCCAAAGTAAACTATTTATTAAAATAGTCAAACTTTGTCTAAATTCATGCGCGTATAAAACTGAAATAATTCCTGCTCAAAGAGTCAGTTTAGTTTTAGATAAGATAATTAAGCCTTGATTCATTATTATTATTGTTTGTTTATTATTGTTGTTGATTTGTAGTTTGATTATTTTTGTACTAAAACTTCAAAGACAACTTTGGTCTCTACATTCAGATGAATATTAATTTGTTCTGGTATAGAACTCCCTGTAATTAACAGATTCTACTTCAGTGACTGATTCTGTGGGATGGGTGGTGGCCGAGGGCGGGGACCTTAGTGGTCTGATCCTCGGCTACGGAAGCTGGCTAGGGACATGGAATGTCACCTCCGGGGTGGGGAAGGAGCCTGAGCTGGTGTGTGAGGCTGAGAGGTTCTAGCTAGAAATAGTCAGACTCACCTCTACGCATGGCTCTGGCTCTGGAACCAGTTTCCTTGAGAGGGACTGGACACTCTTCCACTCTGGAGTTGCCTCTGCTGACAGGCGCAGAGCAGGAGTGGGCGTACTTATTGCCCCCCATCTTGGTGCCTGTGTGTTGGGGTTCACCCCGGTGAACGAGAGGGTGGCCTCCCTCCGCCTACGTGTGGGGGGACGGGTTCTGACTGTCGTTTGTGCTTATGCACCAAACAGCAGCTCAGATTACCCACCCTTTTTGGAGTTCTTGGAGGGGGTACTGGAGAGTACGCCTCCTGTGGACTCCCTTGTTCTGCTGGGGGACTTCAATGCTCACATGGGCAATGACAGTGAGATCTGGAGGAGTGTGGTTGGGAGGAACGGACCCCCTGATCTGAACCAGAGTGGTGTTCTGTTGTTGGACTTCTGTGCTCATCATGGATTGTCCATAACGAACACCATGTTCAAGCATAAGGGTGTCCATATGTGCACTTGGCACCAGGACACCCTAGGCTGCAGTTGGATGATCGACTTTGTTGTCATCTCATCTGATCTGCGGCCGCATGTCTTGGACACTCAGGTGAAGAGGTGTGGAGCTGTCCACGGACCACTACCTGGTGGTGAGTTGGCTCCGATAGTTGGGGAGGATGCCGGTCAGACCTGGCAGGCCCAAACGTAATGTGAGGGTTTGCTGGGAACATCTGGCAGAGTCTCCTGTGAGATGGAGCGTTAATTCCCACCTCCGGGAGAACTTCGAACATGTTCCGGGGGAGGTGGGGGACATTGAGTCCAAGTGGGCCATGTTCCGCGCCTCTATTGTCGAGGCAGCTTACTGGAGCTGTGGCCGCAAGATTGTCAGTGCTTGTTGAGGCGGCAACCCTCGATCCCGGTGGTGGACACCGGCAGTGAGGGATGCTGTCAGGCTGAAGAAGGAGTCCTATCGGGCTATTTTGGACTGTGGGACCCTGGAAGCAGCTGATGGGTACCGGCAGTCCAAGCGACATGCGACTCGGGTGGTCGCTGAGGCAAAAACTCGGGCATGGGAGGAGATTGGAGAGGCCATGGAGAATGACTTCCGCATGACTTCGAGGCGATTCTGGTCCACCATCCGGCATCTCGGGGGTGTAAAGCGGTACACCACCAACACAGTTTATAGTGGGGGTGGTGGGCTGCTGACCTCAACTCAGAATGTTGTGGGTCGGTGGGCAGAATACTTCGAAGACTATACGGTGGCCGACGGGTGCAAACGCACAGCAAACACAAACAAAATGCAAACAAAAAAAACAAACACAAAAAATCTAATGCAAACACAAACAAAAAACATGCAAACAAAAAACAAACAAGCACAAACACTAAAATATCAAATGCAAACACACAAAAAAATTAAACGCAAACTAAAAAAACACATGCAAACACAAATGCACCACATGCAACAAACATAAAAACGCAGCAAACAGTGAGAACACCCCAAACGCTCCACAAAAACAGAAGTGCTCCAGACCACTAGGGGCAGTCGAACACAGAACAAATCTTAAAGAAACTTGGAGGAAGAAAGACGTTTTCCAACCGCAAATAAATGTCACAAGAAGAAGAGGAAGAAAGAAAAGGTTTGTTTATACTTTATTCATTCAAACACACAGTTTTTTACAACTGACCCTTTTCACGTGACGTCAGACAACTTACGTTCTGACTCGATGTGGATCAGTACTTCCTGGTCTGTTCTCCCTCAGGAGACCTGTCTGTAAACTTCACGGAGTTTCATTCATTCAACCTTTACTTACAGAGGTTAAATTACAAGATATAGAGCAAGGTTAATAAAAACAGTATTTATGTGTTAGTTAGCTGTCTTAACGTTATCCATCTTTATCAGTTTACCATTCTGTAACTGTGTCAGGAAACAGCCTCTGATTGTAAAGTAAGCTAGCAGCTAACAGGAAGCTAAACTCTACACTGCTGCTGCTGTCAGTGCTGTAACATTAAAATGTTTAACTTTATCTATTAATGTAAAATCTCTGACATCTTCCAACACTGTTGTTTAGAATAGCATTTTAAATATTGAATTAAAAACTATATGTCAAACCATTTCCATGTTCCGATGATTAATAATTTCTCTTTTTACTTTCTTCTTCTAAAAAGCATATACTGGTAAAATGAAAAGTAAATGGAAGAAATAATATATATATATATATATATATATATAAAAATCAGCTACATTATGAAGAGATATAAAATTCTAAAAACTGACCTTAATAACACTAGAATTGAAATACCAACCAGTGTATTAGAATTCCTAAATCTTAACCCTCCCAAATTACTATCTAACGTTTACCGGACACTCATAAAAAATAGATGAATCAATACCGGTTCACCTTCGAATCTAGTTCAAAATACTCCTGTATGTCTACAAATCACTGAACACTGAACTGAATCGTTTTTATGTCTATATTCTGATTTACTTCACTTTGTATTTTGCTTTGTGTGTTACCTGTTGTTCTGTCTGTACAGCACTTTGGTTGGCCTTGTTGCTGTTTTAAGTGCTCTATAAATATAATAGTATGGTATGGTAATATCCCTTCCAACTGTAAAATGGGAGACAGACTTGT